CAACACTTGATCCTGTGAGACTTTTTTGCCTTTTGCCCATTTGAACACATGAAACGACTAAGTCGTATTTCCCTGATTATCACTGATAATGATCCCCTTTTCATATTGTTTGACTACTCAAGCTTTTTATGGTCATGTATTTTACCCATTTTTCTAACGCAGCAGTTCCAAGTATGATCTGACGGCCTTGGGAGATCCAGGGATGGCCCCCAAGGTCCTTCTTTATCTGATTTCCTATCCACAGGAGGCTCAATTTTCTTCATATACTTTCACCAAAACACAGAGTATCAGACTGACTGCAGAAGCAGATATGAGAACCCAGCTGTTTTCTGTTAAGCCAGACGTTAAAGAAATCTTCAGAAATGTAAAACAAATGCCTCTCTTCTCATTAAACTTTCCTTTTGAAAAAGTTGCTTTCCATAAGTGTTATTTAACATGTATTATTTTAAATAAGTTAATACTTTAAAAATTCCTCTATTTTAATTTCTAATAGAGTAACTATCAATAGACATAACCTACCAACAAAAAAACAGTTTGGGCTTCTCAATTGTTAAAAGGGGTCTTGATATCAAGATCTTTGAGAACTACTTCATATTAATGCATGGCTGTCAACTGCTTACTGACTTACAGGAAGTTCTTTTGTCTTTCAATGTATTTGGGATACTAATCCTTTGTCAGTTACATGCATCATAAACATTTTCTCCCAGATTGAGTGAGGCTTGTCTTTTTACTTACGGTTCCTATTGTTCTGCAGATGTTTTTCATTTTGATGCAACCTTATTTTCCTATAGTGTTGGACTTTTGATAAGGATACTGCTCCTATTTTGAAACAGGGCAAGTCTCACTGGACTTTATAGAGAACCAAAGCTTTGGTATCACTGAATGGATTATGGAGAGAAAAAAATTGGATTTCTCCTAACACTCTCCTTCCAGAACCAACAAGCAATGCATCTTCCACACCTGAGCTAACTTCAATCAAGATAGTAGTTACCACTAGATTTAAATGAGATCAATGTAGAATATAAGCTCGAATATTTTACAATATTCTGCTCTGCCTCAGACAAAACTGAATGTCTGTGAGTCACCAAAAATAACATTTTACCCTTGGCATAACATATGTTTCTATTTTCTTCTTCAGAAGTAGATTGGAAATTCCCTTAAAACTTAAAGCACATTTAATTCAGCACATATACTGCTATCTGCAAATATTTTAACTGGAAAAGGTTTAATTTATCCAAATTCAACAAAATTGTGTGTAAAGTTTCTGCATTTAAAAAAAAATTCTCACATATACTATTATATTTCATCTTAATAATAATCCTGTGTGCTAAATGGAGACAATAGTATTATGCTAACAACTGAGTCAGACATAAGCAACATGAAGTTCAGAGAACTTAAATGACTTAGCAGCAGCACACACAGGACGAGATGTGAAACCTAATTTCCAATCACAACTGATGAAGCGCTCTTAAAAAGTATGGATGATTTTTGACAGTCAGAATAAAACTGACAAGTAACCCCAAGGGATCTTCACATGTAGTAGGAATAAATTTGAATACACCTGCAGGGTTAGTACCTGCAATGGAAAACAAGGGAGGTCTGAAGGGCATCTGCAGGACACTATCTGCCTTTCCAGATGCCTTCCAATTCTTTACTGATGATAAATAAATAACCTGTGACTAATATGCCCTCCTGTTCATTAATATCTCTATTCATGACTATGACCAATTAATCTTGCTCAAATTACAGGAAGGTGGTGAGTGTTCAGATGAAACTTGAGAGGAAAAGACCAAAGACAGAAAACTGGCTGGTATTTTCCCTAAAGGGACCAAGAAATGGAGAAAAACAATTAGAAAGAATTAGCAATAAGTTAGAGAGAAAGAGGAGAGGTAAAGAAAATAAACATCTATCTAAAATGAAAAAGATAAAAAATTTAGCCACAAATGCATATTTTTAAGTCCATCACACAAAATGGATCCATATCATCAATATTATCCATGAACAGTTCAGAAAAACTTGCCATCAGGGACCGTGTGTTTTTGAGTTTACGCATAACTAAAGATTGCTTCATTTAAGGATATATGGACAGAATTAACCTCACTGATCAGCAAGTATATATTTCAAAGCTAGTGAGTTCAAAATTACTTTCAAGTTCAGCTAAAAGCACTGCCTATTTAATCCATCCTAAAAACTGACTCATCACTGATCCATGTACTCAACCACACTCATAAAGATTCTCCCTATTTCTTTTGATTTAATATTCATCCTTGCTACAGAATAGATGGCATAAATAGCAGCCCTGGACAACAATCTTTCATTTAAAAAGTTTCTCTCCAAATATACTGTGTTCATGGATTGGAAGAATCAATATTGTCAAAATGGCTATACTACCCAAAGCAATCTATAGATTCAATGCAATCCCTATCAAACTACCAACAGTATTTTTCACAGAACTAGAACAAATAATTTCACAATTTGTATGGAAATACAAAAAACCTCGAATAGCCAAAGTAATCCTGAGAAAGAAGAATGGAACTGGAGGAATCAATCTTCCTGACTTCAGACTAGACTACAAAGCCACAGTCATCAAGACAGTATGGTACTGGCACAAAGACAGAAATATAGATCAATGGAACAGAACAGAAAGCCCAGAGATAAATCCACGAACCTATGGTCACCTTATCTTCGACAAAGGAGGCAAGGATATACAATGGAAAAAAGACAACCTCTTTAACAAGTGGTGCTGGGAAAACTGGTCAACCACCTGTAAAAGAATGAAACTAGAACACTTTCTAACACCATACACAAAAATAAACTCAAAATGGATTAAAGATCTAAATGTAAGACCAGAAACTATAAAACTCCTAGAGGAGAACATAGGCAAAACACTCTCCGACATAAATCACAGCAGGATCCTCTATGACCCACATCCCAGAATTTTAGAAATAAAAGCAAAAATAAACAAATGGGACCTAATGAAACTTAAAAGCTTTTGCACAACAAAGGAAACTATAAGCAAGGTGAAAAGATAGCCCTCAGATTGGGAGAAAATAATAGCAAACGAAGCAACAGACAAAGGATTAATCTCAAAAATATACAAGCAACTCTTCCAGTTCAACTCCAGAAAAATAAATGACCCAATCAAAAAATGGGCCAAAGAACTAAACAGACATTTCTCCAAGGAAGACATACAGATGGCAAAAAAACACATGAAAAGATGCTCAACATCACTCATTATCAGGGAAATGCAAATCAAAACCACAATGAGGTACCATTATGCGCCAGTCAGGATGGCTGCTATCCAAAAGTCTACAAGCAATAAATGCTGGAGAGGGTGTGGGGAAAAGGGAACCCTCTTACACTGTTGGTGGGAATGCAAATTAGTACAGCCACTATGGAAAACAGTGTGGAGATTTCTTAAAAAGCTGGAAATAGAACTGCCATATGACCCAGCAATCCCACTTCTGGGCATACACACCGAGGAAACCAGATCTGAAAGAGACATATGCACCCCAATGTTCATCGCAGCACTGTTTATAATAGCCAGGACATGGAAGCAACCTAGATGCCCATCAGCAGACGAATGGATGAGGAAGCTGTGGTACATATACACCATGGAATATTACTCAGCCATTAAAAAGAATTCATTTGAATCAGTTCTAATGAGATGGATGAAACTGGAGCCCATTATACAGAGCGAAGTAAGCCAGAAAGATAAAGACCATTACAGTATACTAACACATATATATGGAATTTAGAAAGATGGTAACAATAACCCTATATGCAAAACAGAAAAAGAGACTCAGATATATAGAACAGGCTTGTGGACTCTGGGAGAAGGCGAGGGTGGGATGTTTCAAGAGAACAGCATCAAAGCATGTATATTATCTAGGGTGAAACAGATCACCAGCCCAGGTTGGGTGCATGAGACAAGTGCTCGGGCCTGGTGCACTGGGAAGACCCAGAGGGATCAGGTGGAGAGGGAGGTGGGAGGGGGGACCGGGATGGGGAATACATGTAAATCCATGGCTAATTCATTTCAATGTATGACAAAAACCACTGCAATGATGTAAAGTAATTAGCCTCCAACTAATAAAAAAAAATGGAAAAAAAAAAAAAAGTTTCTCTCCATTGAATGATGAAAAAACAAAAAACTTCTGAAAACAGTGAAAAGAAATCCAAGGAAGAATATCCTCTATTAAAAGAGTCAGAATATATTGTGAACCATGGGCTACCTGAATTCATCATGCTTTATACCTGTCACTGTGCACATTTATGAGGAGGAAGCACCCTATAAATTAATTTGTTCCAACTCCATGAGTCAAATCAGGGTGAAAAACCAAAAGATATATCCTATTGATAATTACCAGTAAAATCTCAAGTTAAACAGATATACCTTGAAGAAATACTATTGTTGAAAAACAACCATATATGTTCAATTAGTTTTCACTTATCATTATCCTCCGGGGGGGGAAATGCAGTAATCAACAACAGGTTATTTAGAAATGGTTTTAAAATCAAAACTGGAGTCATGGTATCAGGTGGAAAAAAAAAATCCATGACGATTTTAAAATGATCTGAGTCATTAACAGATCATGAAACAGAACAAAACACAAAAGCACCAAATCATATAAAAATACTTCATGTGAAATTCACAAAATAAAGCAGAAAGGAGAATTTGTATGTGTTAAAATAATTTAATTCTCCCTGTACATTTCTGTCCACATGAGCCAACAAAAGTCAAGAATGCATACTTTACAATATTTACCTGTTTTGGGACATTCAAGTCAATTTCAGATGGCAAAAGTAGAATTCAGTCACTAATGACATGTTCAAAAAATATATATTAAACAAAAAAATGTTTTTACAAGATAAAAAATAATTTTCCACAATGCAATAAATTGCAGATCACTGAAATTTTAACTCTTTAGATGATTTCAGTTCAGTTTTTGGTTTCAAAATCTAGAGACAACTGAAAGAAAAAAGCATTGGCAGAATTTCTATCTGTTTTTACGTTTCTCTTTTTTGTTTCGACTGTTTGTTACACTGTTCAGAGATGTTGAGGATGAAGGTGCTCGTGCATGACCGGTGGCCTTCAGATGATCAAAAAGTCTATTCCGGGATGGAAATTCGCTATGGCAGGTTGTACAGCTGATAAGCACATCACTCTGAGAAGGGGGGAAAAAATCATAAATAAAAGCAAGTGTTATTATCTGAGAGCAATGTTTTCATGTTGAGATTAAATATCAAGCAATTGCAAAATACCAAGACAGACTCAGCAGAGGCAACTGTTCTTGGAAGCTGAGTTTCATTAACCAATACCATCAACTCTAAGGGTCTTGAGACATTTCAAGAGCACATGCCATAAGGATAAGGCCCTGGATTTCAAAGTAATGAAAACCACAACAGGAACTGTTCTGGTATAATCTGAGACGTTCAGGGTGCCTCTGTTTACCATAAAGAAAAAAATGTCAGTGGCACGTATATTCTGAATAAATTTTACATTCATCAAGGAAAACTGCTGATGGAGCCACACGCATGGAGCAAGTGAAGGACTCACCAGGTACGCATTTAAATCTTTAGATTAGACTCGAGAATGTAGATTACACTGCTTAGACAAGGTCCACGGAGAAGCTGTCAATACTGTTTGGACTTACCATTGTCTGTGCTTCAGCAGGCACTCTGACAGACTTTTTAGTGTCTTTGGCTTTCTTTCCTTTGGGTTTAGAAACACTGGAAAATAAATGAAAGAATTCAGGCTAATTCAATAATAACGTACCCCCCTTTTAACTGTCATCTAGAACCCAAGAAGATTCGAAAGAGTAACGTGCATTTTAAAGAAAAATTCATTCATTTTAATGGCCAAGTGAATTAATTTTCACATCGCAAATGAACAACTTTAAAAAACAACTTTAGAGATAAGATTAGATACCAAATTTGATACAAAAACTGAGGAACTTACTTAAAAGTTGAAACACAAGATAAAGCAAGACCTCTAAAATATCTTTGAACTTTTTATTCAGTGCATTTTTGTAAAAAAAAAAAAAAAAAAGTAAGTACTTAATACTCCATTTACTGAAGCAAACTATCTTCATGGCCAACCAGCAGTGCTCACAAATAACCTATGACATTAAGAGACAACTTGTTAAACCTGATTCAGCTGATGATAAACATTTCACCAGTTCCACAGTGAAATGAGAAAGACAGACACTGCAATGCATTTTTCATATAATTAAATTTGTTAAATGTAAAGCATTTTCTTTTGTTAAAAGATGATGTCTTTCTATTCATGTGATGAGTTTCTCTTCCCTGTATTCTATAACCCAGAGACTGCCAGTCAGTATATTCAGTTTCCTCCTGTTCTCCTTTAACTCCAAAACATCCCTCCACTTAATCTGCTATGTAAACCTTCATTTTCCTTAGTGCTCTCATACTTTCCCTCATTTGTGCTAACCAAATTCTTACAGTAAAATCTGAGTGCAACTATGTTTACAGAACAGATGGGATGGGTTATAACCAATGAGTTAAAATGCTGTCAAGCACTTCATCAGAACCTAGGAGTGTGTATTAAGTTAAGTGGTCTATACATTTAAAAGATGCTGACAAATGGGGCTCCCCTGGTAGCTCGGTGGTAAAGAATCCACCTGCCAATGCAGGAGACATGGGTTCAATCTCTGATTCAGGAGGATTCCACATGCCACACAGCAACTAAGCCTGTGAGCCGGAACTATTGACTGAGGCTGTGTTCCAGAGCCCAGGAGCCACAACTACTGAGTCTATGTGCCGCAACTACTCAAGCACTCTGGAGTCCCTGCTCCACAGTAAGGAAAGCCACTGCAATGAGAAGCCCGCAACCACAACTAGACAGTAGCCTCTGCTCCCTGCAACTAGAGGAAAAAGGCCACAGAGCAATGAAGATGCAGCACAGCCAAAAATAAGTACAAATCTTACAAAAAAAAAAAAAACAAAAAGATGCTGATAAGGAGTGTAAACACAACACTATGTAGTATTCAGTTCAGTTCAGTCGCGTCTGACTCTTTGCAACCCCACGAATCACAGCACACCAGGCCTCGCTGTCCATCACCAACTCCCGGAGTCTACCCAAACCCACGCCCATTGAGTCGGTGATGCCATCCAACCATCTTATCCTCTGTCATCCCCTTCTCCTCTTGCCCTCAATCTTTCCCAGCATCAGGGTCTTTTCAAATGAGTCAGCTCTTCGCATCAGGTGGCCAAAGTACTGGCGTTTCAGCTTCAACATCAGTTCTTCCAATGAACACACAGGACTAATCTCCTTTAGGATGGACTGCTAGGATCTCCTTGAAGTCCAAGGGACTCTCAAGAGTCTTCTCCAACACCACAGTTCAAAAGCATCAATTCTTTGGCACTCAGCTTTCTTTATAGTCCAACTCTCACATCCATACATGACCACTGGAAAGACCATAGCCTTGACTAGCTTTGTTGGCAAAGTAATGTGTCTGCTTTTTAATATGCTGACTAGGTTGGTCATAACTTTCCAAGGAGTAAGTGTCTTTTACTTTCATGGTTGCAATCACCATCTGCAGTGATTTTGGAGCCCCCCAAAAATAAAGTCTGACACTGTTTCCACTGTTTCCCCATCTATTTGCCATGAAGTGATGGGACTGGATGCCATGATCTTAGTTTTCTGAATGTTGAGCTTTAAACCAACTTTTTCACTCTCTTCTTTCACTTTCATCAAGAGGCTCTTTAGTTCCTCTTCACTTTCTGCCATAAGGTGGTGTCATCTGTATATCTCAGGTTACTGATATTTCTCCCGGAAATCTTGATTCCAGCTTGTGCTTCCTCCAGCCCAGCATTTCTCATGATGTACTCTGAATAGAAGTTAAATAAGCAGGGTGACAATATACAGCCTTGACGTACTCCCTTTCCTAGTTGGAACCAGTCTGTTGTTCCATGTCCAGTTCTAACTGTTGCTGCCTGACCTGCATACAGGTTTCTCAAGAGGCAAGTCCAGTGGTCTGGTATTCCCATCTGTTTCAGAATTTTCCAGTTTACTGTGATCCACACAGTCAAAGGCTTTGGTATAGTCAATAAAGCAGAAATAGATGTTTTCTGGAACTCTCTTGCTTTTTCAATGATCCAGTGGATGTTGGCAATTTGATCTCTGGTTCCTCTGCCTTTTCTAAAACCAGCTTGAACATCTGGAAGTTCACAGTTCATGTTGAAGCCTGGCTTGGAGAATTGTGAGCATTACTTTACTGGTGTGCGAAATGAGTGCAGTTGTGTGGTAGTTGGAGCATTCTTTGGCATTGCCTTTCTTTGGGATTGGAATGAAAACTGACCTTTTCCAGTTCTGTGGCCACTACTGAGTTTTCCAAATTTGCTGGCATATTGAGTGCAGCACTTTCACAGCATCATCTTTCAGGATCTGAAATAGCTCAACTGGGATTCCATCACCTTCACTAACATTGTTCATAGTGATGCTTCCTAAGGCCCACTTGACTTCACATTCCAGGATGTCTGACTCTAGGTGAGTGATCACACCATCATGATTATCTGGGTCACTAAGGTCTTTTTTGTATAGTTCTGTGTATTTTTGCCACCTCTTCTTAATATCTTCTGCTTCTGTTAGGTCCCTACCATTTCTGTCCTTTATTAAGCCCATCTTTGCATGAAATGCTCCTTTGATATCTCTAATTTTCTTGAAGAGATCTCTAGTCTTTCCCATTCTATTGTTTTCCTCTATTTCTTTGCATTGATCGCTGAGGAAGGCTTTCTTATCCTCCTTGCTATTCTTTGGAACTCTGCATTCAAATGGGTATATCTTTCCTTTTCTCCTTTGCTTTTCGATTCCTTTTCACAGCTATTTGTAAGGCCTCCTCAGACAGCCATTTTGCTTTTTTGCATTTTTCTTGGGGATGGTGTTGATTCCTGTCTCGTGTACAATGTCACAAACCTCCATCCATGGTCATCATTTCTCACTTCCACTGTATAGTCATAAGGGATTTGATTTAGGTCACACCTGAATGGTCTAGAGGTTTTCTCCACTTTCTTCAATTTCAGTCTGAATTTGGCAATAAGGAGTTCATGATCTCAGCCACAGTCAGCTCCCCGTCTTGTTTTTGCTGACTATATAGAGCTTCTCCATCTTTGGCTGCAAAGAATATAATCAATCTGATTTTGGTGTCGACCATCTGGTGATGTCCATGTGTAGAGCCTTCTCTTGCGTTGTTGGAAGAGGGTGTTTGCTATGACCAGTGTGTTCTCCTGGAAAAACTCTATTAGCCTTTGCCCTGCTTCATTCTGTACTCCAAGGCCAAATTTGCCTCTTACTCCAAGTATTTCTTGACTTCCTACTTTTGCATTCCAATCCCCTATAACGAAAAGTATATATTCTTTGGGTGTTAGTTCTAGAAGCTCTTGTAGGTCTTCATTGAACTGTTCAACTTCAGCTTCTTCAGCGTTACTGGTCATGCATAGACTTGGATTACCGTGATACTGAATGGTTTGCCTTGGAAACAAACAGAGATCATTCTGTCATTTTTGAGATGGCATCCAAGTACTCCATTTCGAACTCTTTTGTTGACTATAATGGCTACTCCATTTCTTCTAAGGTATTCCTGCCCACAGTAGTAGATATAATGGTCATCTGAGTTAAATTCACCCATTCCAGTCCATCTTAGTTCGTTGATTCCTAGAATGTCGATGTTCACTCTTGTCATCTCCTGTTTCACCACTTCCAATTGGCCTTGAGTCATGGACCTAACATTCCAGGTTCCTATGCAATATTGCTCTTTACAGCATTGGACTTCACTTCCATCACCAGTCCCATCCACAACTGGGTGTTGTTTTTGCTTTGGCTCCATCCCTTCATTCTTTCTGGAGTTATTTCTCCACTATCTCCAATAGCATATTGGGTACCTACCGACCTGGTTCAGTGTCCTATCTTTTTGCCTTTTCATACTGTTCATGGGGTTCTCAAGGCAAGCATACTGAAGTGGTTTGCCATTCCCTTCAGCCAGCTTTGAAAATATCAAGAAAAAGACACAATGACATAAAATGCAACAGATTCAACATTTACTAATTTACAAAATAACATTAGAGAGGCCACAAATATATCCAACATTTAGCACTGAGGCTAATTTGGGAAAATTTAGGATAGTATTCCCAAAGAACAACTTACCATATTATGAAAGACAGCTACATCTCCAAAGCTAGTATCTGAGACTCTTTTTCTAAAATGTACTTTAGAGGAGATATAATGTATTCATATGAATATACTCCAGAATACTGCAGTAATTTTGTATGGAGACAGTAGACTTATTGTGGTATTAATTCATAATGTATATAAATGTGAAATCACTATGTTATATACCTGAAACTGTTTCATGTTAATAAAAAATAAGAAGAAAAAAAATGTACTCCAGACACACACACACATATAGTAGGTAGTTAGTGTCCATGCATTGCAGAGAAGCAGCAGAAGGGTCCTGCAGAAAAGCACTGGGCATCAGGATACTGGGGGGTGGGGGTGGGGGTGGGGTAGTGGGGTGTCCACCCCAGCTCCGCCACTCCTCAGCAGTGAAGAGGTCACCTGAATTCTGCTTCTTTTTCTCACATCACTAATGAGGAAACGGAGTTTTACTGGTGGTTGCCAAAGTCTGACTGTGAGCACTGAGTGGCCCTTTTCCTCCCCCACTGAAACCCACACAGAAGCCATATGGAGAATGATGCCCAGTGCTGGGGCCGAACGCAGGCTGCCTGGCCTGAGTGTGGAGGTTCGGGCAGTGATGCTCAGGTGAGTGGGGCATGGCCTTGTCTGTAGCCTCACCAAGGATTACTGACCCAGCACAAAATAAGGACTTCACCAGGATGAGAAAAACAGAAACTTGGTCCATGAAACTCCTTTCTGCTTTGGGCCATGCTGCTGAAACATCTGAGCGCACTGTCTAGCATTCTCCCTCCAACATCATCCTTGGTAGACATACATGTGTATGAATAAGTCACAGATACATCCAACTCACAGCGTCCATCATGGGAGAGGGTGTTTTACTTGATACATGAAAAGCCATCCTCCCTACCAGTACAAGTAATTAGAAAACAACACGCAACTCTGACTTACCTTTTAACCTCAGCTTTGGGGTCATCACACAGTTCCACAGTCGCTGTGACCCCAACATTTTCTTGGAGACTATCTTCTGATTCTTTGGCACTGTTTTGATTTAGGTTGGTATCTTCCGGGTCAACCTTTACTCCTTCTCCAGTTCCATTTTCATTGAAATGATCATCATAGTTCTAGGTAAGAAAACATGTGCGCCATTACAAAATAAATACTGTAATACCACTAGTTTTTTATGTTATGTTACCAGACAGTTATAATAAACAATGGTCAAGTCCTATACACTCTAGTAGGAGGATATCTTCAGGGTATAAAAAGGAGAGGCAGAAAAGAAGAATATGAATGTCCATTAGAGAAATATTAAATTAGGGGAAACTGGAAACAATCCAAATATTCAGTAAATGAATGGTTGAACAAATGAAGGAAAATTATAGAGCTCTTCAAAGTCATGTTTCCAAAGACACTGATTCAATTATGTGGAAAAAGAGAACACATTAGCAAAAACAGAAGAGAGAAAATTATATATAACCTTTGATTACAACTTAATTCAACATTAAGGAATATCCTTAGGCAGAATTAGGGATGATATTGATAGTCTCCCATAGTTTCCAAAGGATAGGGCAATGAACAACTATTTTACAATTGGAAAAAAGAAAACAGTAACAGGCATTATACAAGAAAAAACACCTCACAAATGTATCTTCACTAAATGCAACTGACTTGCTTTTGCCTTGGGTAATGTTTCGCCACAGTTGTTTTCTCCTTCTTTTCTCCCCTTCTTCCCTTTCTCTGCAAAACGTACCCCCTTGACTCCCATCCCCAGAACTATAAAAGCAAGCTGCAGGAAGATACCGTGTCTGTCCTAAGATCATTCTCCTTCCTATCCCGTTCCCTCTTCACACTCAAGAACTTAACACTGTCATTATCTGTTACAAAATCCATGTAAGTATTGCAGTAATGTCCCTTTTCACAGGGCTTCCCTGGTGACTCAGTGGCAAAGAATCTGCCTGCCAACGCAGGAGATGCGGGTTTGATCCTTGGGTCGGGAAGATCCCCTGGAGAAGGTAATGGCAACCCACTCCAGTATTCTTGCCTGGAGAATCCCATGGACAGAGGAACCTGGTGGGCTATAGTCCATAGCGTCGCAGAAGAGTCAGACAAAACTTAGTGACTCAACAACAGTTACTTCCTCATGATTGAATTCAGGTTAAACATTTTCAGCAGGAATGTTACAGACATAATGCTGTGCCCTCAGTACATTTTATCAGGAAGCAAAATGTCACTTTCCATTTTTCAGTGATTAAAGTCTCATCATTTGGTTAAGATGGTTACTGCTGGATTTTTCTACTGTAAAGCACCTTTTTCCTTTTTTAATAAGTAATAAACAGTATATCAGTATCTTCTTTCCTAATAACTATTTACCCCAAGGATCTGGCATCTATTGTTGATTCTTATGTGAACCATTTATTATACTGGTGGGTCCAGAATAGTCCTGCCATTTACATTTGTATTAATTCATATTCTTGGAGTGATGCCTTCCCATCTGCCTCCTTTCTCAAACTCTCTTTTTTAAGGCTCAATATACACTCGTGATTTTTTTTTTAAAATAAAACCAATTTGTGAAATCTCTCACCATTATTTATTTGGCAAGCTCATGAGCTGACTTCTGGGTACTTCTGACTTATTCCCATCAATTTTTGAATACTCCCTTTATTCCCAGCATCGATAATCCAGGCTCACCTTGTACTTTCTCTGTCTCAGCCCTAGAATCAGTCATTTTCCCAAGGACCAAATCCTGACTCCTTTCATTGGGGAAGGGGGTGTAGAAACTAAGATGTGTGTACTATATATGCTCACTGCTACGGGGTGTCACTGCTTCGGGGCCCTCAGTGTATACTGAGCATTTGTGTCTTATTTATTTTTTTAATATCAAACCTCCAATTCCAGTACTTCATTAGTGTTCTCTCCTTCCCTCAATCCATACCTGTATTTCCCTTCTCCTACCACAGAATCTGTTTCCCGACAACATTAGTATATTTACTTATTTGCTTTCTCCTATAATACACGTAAAATAGTTTCAAAAATACCACACCAATATTACTAAAATATCTCCTAAGTAAAGTTTAAGATTTTTTTGTTTTGCAGTTAATTTTGTCTTCAGGGTATGTCCCATGGATGGTGTTCAGAGTGCTGCATTCAAAGTTTCTTGCATTAATTCTTCCTTGTTGTCAGCAAGAGGGTTTTATTTGTTTACACTCAATTTCAATTTTCTGGGGTTTTCTTTTACAATCCTTGTTTGCTTATACAATTTTTTTTGACAATACAGAAATCTCCCAACCTGAAGTTTCATGATTCTTAGTATCTGCTGCTTTCTGCTCCTTTATCTACCTGTATGTGTCTCCACACCACCTTTCCCTTCAAAAGGAGCTTAGAAAAAATCCAGGGGAAAGTGCAGAAAACTAGATTTGAATTGGGGCTTTCTCCCTGATATAATCAGAAACCATAGGTATCATCAAGGAATACATATACATTTGGAGGGAAAAAAATGGGGTGGTATCTTCCTTGGTAAGAGGATACAAATATATGTGCTTACTGCTGCACTCTTAGGACCTACTGGGTATAAATTCCTCTCTGTTCTGCCTTTTCCAGTGGTTCTGGCACATAAGAAAAAAGTGTTCTAAACTAATGACTAGCGAGTCTTTGGGTGGAAAATGACATGAGTCATTTTATAAAAGGAACATACAATTCGCTGTGTGGTTTTATAACCGAGGCAAAAAGTTCCAAGTCACAGTTTAATAGTGATTAATTCATGTGTCATGTTAACTTCTGAAATATAAAACAGCTGTGCCACGCTTAGCGGCTCAGTCGTGTCTGACTCTTGGCTACCCGTAATGGACTGAAGTCTGCCAGGCTCCTCTGTCCATGGGAATTCTCTAGGCAAGAATAATGGAGTGGGTTGCCATGCACTCCTCCAGGGAGGGGATCCTCCCAACCCAGGGATCGAATCCAGGTCTCCAACACTGAGGGTGGATTTTTTACCAACTGAGTCACCGGGGAAGCCCAAGAATACTGGAGTGGGGAGCCTAACTCTTCTCCAGGGGAGCTTCCCAACAAGGAATCGAACCGGGGTTTCCTGCATTGCAGGCAGATTCTTTACCAGCTGAGCTACCAGGGAAGCCCAAGAATACTGGAGTGGGGAGCCTAACTCTTCTCCAGGGGAGCTTCCCGACAAGGAATCGAACCGGGGTTTCCTGCATTGCAGGCAGATTCTTTACCAGCTGAGCTACCAGGGAAGCCCAGGAAACAGCTAAAAATTACCGAACATAAACCATTAGGATAAACAAGCCAAATCTAAAGTTTTATGAAAAATTATTAGTGCATTACCTAAGTTTTCATAAAAACACTTCCAATTTTTTTAAAAACTACAGTTAACATTTAATACTTAATATAAGCTAACATAATTAGATCACATTAAAACAGCACAGAAATCAATTCCATTCCCTGTAGAGTCACCAAAAATCCTCAGTAAAATGGACAAGTTCATTTTGTTTTTATAGGTTCAAAAAATACACAAAATTGTGTTACACATATTAACAACATGTATGTGTAACACAATATGTTGTGTTACAACATACTTTTAGTTAAAAATGATTCTTAAGATAGAAATTCAATATGAATCCTCAAGGTAAAATATTTAAATGACTTACTGAGTAACATAAACATTTTTTTCAGGAATCACAATCACTACAAGTTTCTAAATGAATACTCCTTTTTTAAGCACTTTTATACAGTAAAGTGATTCGGTTACATATATATTTTTCCAATTATTTTCCATTATGTTATTATAAGATATTGAATATAGTTTCCTGTGCTATACAATAGGTCCTTATTATTTAACTATTTTATATACAGTAAAGTATATATGTTACTCCCAAACACCTAATATTGCCTCCCCCTACCGCTAATCCCATTGGTAACTATAAGCTTGGTTTCTATGTCTGTGAGTCTATTTTTGTTTAGTTCATTTGTTATCCTTTTTTCGACTCCACATGCAGGTGATATTTTATGATTTTTATCTTTGTCTGACTTACTTCACTTAATCTCTACGTCCATTCACACTGTGCAAATGGCATTATTTCATTCTTTCTAAATAGCTGTGCATATGCACCACACCCTATTTATCCATTCATCTATTGAAGGACACTTGCTTCCATGTCTTGGCTACTATAAACAGTGCTTCTATAAACACTGGGGTGCACAGATCTCTTCAAATTAGAGTTGTCTCCAGATACATGCCCAGAAGTAGGAAAGCAAAAATTTTCCCTTTCCAAATGTTCATTTACATTGTTGGCACAATAAACTTGGATATACAAATGATCAACCCTTACATTTTCATATATTTATGAGGTGAACGGCTACCTAGATTTAAAAATCTTACCATCACGTGTGTCTAGATGTTTTTAATGTGATCCCTCAGTTCATCCATACTATGAGAATTCCACATGCAAATTTTGTAAACACACAGACAACAATAACTAGGTAAACTGACCACATATATAAGGCCCTGCGTTGCAGGCAGATTCTTTACCAGCTGAGCTACCAGGGAAGTCCATATAATGAGGCAAAGCACTGAAAAACCAAAATACTTTCAGCTCCTTTCAATCTGTTTTACAATCAATATGAAACTAGAGTGTGAAAGCTCCACTCCTTAAGACAGCTCACACGGAATAAACGAGAGCACCCGAGCCTAACACCTGATGCTGAGCGTCAGTGAAACTGCAACGCACCTGTGCTGGCCTCTGTTTCTTCTTCTTCTGCTTTTTAGAAAGCCTAAGACAAATATAGATCAAAATGTCAAATGTGTGACTGAGTAAAAGGAAAAAATACCAAAATACCAGTGATACAGAGAATAACATATTAAAAAATATTGAGTATCATAAAGCAGTAAAAGAAAAATACCCACATTATCATTTTAGAAAAATATAATAGTGGTTCAATTGATAGTAAAGTGTATCAATTAGCCAGTTATAAAACTGCTATTAATACAGTCATAATACAGTCTGTAAAAATTATGTCTGACATCATGTCTTTATCCATTTCAATACTTAAAAGTTCTCTTAACCTTCTAGTTTCTTCCAAAATGCAGACAATATTAGCATAACAGAATAATTTCCCTGCAATAAAACAGCTTTTAAATGCAATCTCTAAACGGGCTAAGTAGGTCTAGTGACATTTTTAGAAGTACTTTTGTTTTGGCGCATCCTCCATCTCTTCCTCGGAATTGGCATTCAGACTGTTTTCATCAGTTTGAGGTCCTGAAAAATTTGCATCCTCCTCCTCCAACTGTTGTTTTAACAAGGCAACCATTTCCCGATGCTTCTTTGATTTTTCATGATTCCTCATACTGAAAGGACAAGTTGAAATGAGTGACTGCAATGGGATTAATTCACAGATGCCCAATTGTGTTACTGGATGAATACAACCAAGCTGAAATCTACTTTTTTCTCATTAGCAAATCATCAGTGATACTATAAGGAGACACAGAACCCTTTTGGGATTTCTTAGGCATTTAAGTACACTGGAAGCCCATGACTGTTCTTTTTTCCTGTATTCCAGCATTCCCCCCAACCCCCGCCACCTTCCCTTTGTCCTCTTATCTACATAGTTTCTTCCTTTTTTTTTTTTTTGGTCAAATGCTCTAAATTTTTCCTTTCCCATTCTAAGAATTCAAACCTTCATCATTGTTTTCTCTTAATCACTTAAGTATGGCTAAGTGGAAAATCACAAAGCAAGATTCTAACATTTAAAGAGAGACCCCTTGGATCTCAGAAATGGTGATGTGAGGCCTTGAAGTATAGGAGTAGTTTATGTCCTTTTGCTTTTTTTCAAGAACGGTCTCTCTTCTCACTCCCACTACCCTAAATATAAGTTCAGATGCATCTCTACCGTTCTGTGTGAATCTATATAAGCGATGTCTATCTCAGTGCTCCCGTGGGCAACTAAATAACACTTAACAAAATAAAACTGGCAACACTAAAGGACTAGATCTCATCCTGTTCAGATCTGGATTTTCTAGTGGGGGTTGCCTACTTTTCGTTCCCACTAAAATTCTCAAGAACAAAGTTTTCAGGAGAAACTGGAACATTCTATGCCAGAAAGTAAGAGTTCAAAAATATGACTCAGACACGTCAAAGGACACAGGAGTCAGGTTGACGGAATTGTCACTGAACACACCTGGGAAATTTTGAGCATAAAAAGGGCAATGATGAATTTAACATACCGAAACAAAATTCCTAAATTCATTCTGACAACAGACATGCAGATCAATGCCCTCATGTACAGCAGAAGGTCAAATGGCGACTTCTGATGCAGGAGCACTGGCACCGGAAAAGCCTCATTTTGAGACAATTCTAGTGAAGACTGGTACAAGATGAAATCATCAATAAATGTTAAATCTAGGAAGGAAACTTTGGTCAAGGGAAAGATTATTTGTAGGGGTTTAAAGTGTCTCCCCACATATTAAACATGCTACAAGGGAAAACACTGCAAGGGGAAAAATACTAACTATACAGTGGAAAAATAAGGCAACACCCTGACTGGATGATCAAGATCATCACCAGCCATGAGGCGGGCAGCCGTCTGTGCTTCTAGACAGAAACCCTGAGAGCAACACAGGTGTGCACAGCACTCTAGCTAGGACTGAGCAACCTGAGTCTAATCATGAGGCAATGGACAAACCCCAAGTGAGAAATGGCTCTGCTTAAAAAGACATTTGAAAGGTCAGTACTCTTCCAAACCGTCAATGGCACAGACAAGGGAACTGGTCCAGATTAAATGAGACCAAATAAATAAATGCAATAATACGTGATCCTACACTAGATCCTATATTGAAGCTAGGAAAATGCTACATAGGACGTTAACAAAGAATCAACTCACAAAAGTGAAATATGGGTAGTAAATGAAATGAAAGTACTGCATCAGTGTTCAAATTTCCTGAAGCTGACAGCTATGATTATGTGAGAGAATATCCTTATTCTTAAGGAATATATACTGAAGTATTTAGAGGTAAAGGAGCGTTACGCACGTAACTTGCTCTCGGGTTATTCCAGTAAAAATCTTGTCTGTGTGTGGAAAGAGAATAAGCACATGCGAACAGGGTGAAATGTGAGCAAAAGGTGAATTGCGCGCTGTATATTCTATTCATGCAACTTGCCAGTTTGACATTCAGTTTCCAGATAAAAAATAAATTTTCAAACCTCCTTTCTTGTTTTGTTTCCTTGTTTGGTTCTAACTTGTCCGCCTCACACCACTCCTCATGACACTATCACTTTTCCCTGGGGTTACACGGTGGTACCACTTGGGATTCCCACAGCCCCATTTCCATTATTGACCTCCGCCTTCTCTACTGCACACGTTCTGCTTCTTTTTCCCTTGCTAGTTCTCCTTCCGTTTTCTCCCATATTTGCCCCCTCGCCCCCTGCGTTAGGATAGTATCCTTTTTAATACTTCTCCCTTCATCACTGTTCCCCTGTGACAAAGTCCTGCCACTTCAGCAAATACACTACAGGCAGGACAGATCTGAAGGTCTTGGGTTGGGGGCCACAGCCTGCAAGGCAGTGTGATGGCTGGACATGAGTGTGCACATTAGTGGAGAGAGGGGACCAGCCTCAGCTCCGCGCCCCCTTGCCTCTGTGACTTTGCCTTCTTCACCAAAACAAGCAACATTTCTTTCTGGAGATAGCATACACATTTAAAGAGGAACATGGAATGAATGAGAATCAGTACACCAGGCTTAACTGCAGGTACAGATGGTTCTCCCTTCTCCACTGGGAAGATATTCCTCCAAGATAAAAGGTGAGGGCGCGCGAACAACTGCTCTGAGCATCTTCTTTGAGGACTTTGAAAGTGTTACACCTCACCTCAAAAGAAGAGGTGAGTGCAGAGATAGTAAACTTACGCCTTTTCAGTCTTGAAAGATTTATCACACGCAGGGCAGTAAAGGCCATCATAAAGTTCTGCGTCCTCGGCCTCGTCGCTGTCTTTATCTACCAGAGGGAAGCCTACAGTGAGAATCCTGTTTGATTAGAACATAAATCTAAAACATGTTAGCAAGTTACATTTCTTTGGTAAGGACCTAAAATTGCACACAAATTAGAAACTAAAATTTGTTATTTCTTCACCAAGAAAAAAATGTTGCCAGGATTTGAGTTGGCCTTTTAAAAGCAGCACTGAATTACAGAGGAAGCCTTTCAAATAAATCACTTTATCTTTCAAGTCCTTTTTATAAAGCTACTCAGAAGATGATTCAAAAAATCCTCAGAGTCCCAGATGTGTGCTAAGCTCAGAAAATCAAATGTCACTTTCATATTTCTACCACAAAGCAGTTTTTTCAACAAGTTCAGTTCAGTCGCTCAGTCCCGTCTGATACAAATGTAAAAGTGAAAAAGTCAGTCGCTCAGTCATGTCCTACTCTTTATGATCCCATGGACTGTACCCACCAGGTTCCTCTGTCCATGAAATTCTCCAGGCAAGAATACTGGAGTGGGTAGCTATTCCCTTCTCCAGGGGATCTTCCTGACCCAGGGATCAAACCTGGATCTCCTGCATTGCAGGCAGATTCTTTACCATCTGAGCCACCAAGGAAGCCCATACAAATGGAAATACAGTATAGTACCTATAACTGTAATCTACTTTTAAACACTTAAGTAAGCTTAAATAGCTTATGATATTCCTTATGAGAAAGATGGTTCATAAAACAGCATATTATATGTAAACTCCAACACTGTCTTCATAGATTTTATAAGCTTGAAGCTTTATTACAATGGAATAATTACTATCAGTACTGACCCTTTACAAAATCTAAGCTCTGCTGAAAAGTCTTTGCACAATCTCACATTCTATCTTTAGAAGAAATAAACAAGTAAACTGATTGCCGTTTCAGATTTATTATGGGATCAAGATCCCAAGATATCTCTCCTATATTCTACATTTTGTATTTTTATAATAAGTAATGGTAGTATGATTCTGAAGGACATTCTGAAATAATCAAAATAGCACCAATGTTTAGTATAAGATACTAATTATGTGTATGCTTTCAAATAGCTTATTCAAATAGTGAATGAAGAATACTGAATTTGAAGACATAATCTGCATTAAGAATGTTTTCAAACGTTCTCAGACACATACCAGAGCTTCTCAGAATCCTAGTTTCTTCATCAGTAAAACAGAGATAATTACATGATCAACACCTGCATGTAAGGGGTACAGTGGGAGGACAAAGCAAGATCTTGTGTGTGAAAGCACCTTACAGATTGTAAAACTCTACATAATCATGTCACCTTACATTTATAAGGTGCTTTATAGCTCTCAAAGCACTTTCACACACACTACTTCTAATTCATTAAGAAAACGTTTCATTTCCTAATCATTTGGAGTAAACGGAAGTGCCATTTTACCATTTGAGCTATTACTCAATGAAAAGCCACACTTGTAAATAAGGTAAAATTAATTAAACTATTCAATTTAATTAAACTATTAGATCACTTAATTTTTTATCATGAAATAATAGCCAGAGACAGTGGGGAAAGTCAGGTATCTTGATCACTATTGCCAACAACGCCCAATCCTCTCCTCTCATGGTCGTCACATGCCTGTGCTCTAAGGACAGAGGCAGAGAAAAGACACATTTCAGCACAAAATAGGAGCCCCTCTACAGGTCTGAAATGAGACAACTTATATATACTAGACAGACTTCTGCACAACACCAGCTTTTCCGTAAAGAGTTACTATTAAAATTTGACCTGCTATTTAATTGCATTTTTAGAAAATAACCAGTTGTACCTGATAATATGCCCACTTCTCATTACATTTATGCAGAAAAATAGTTTAAAACATGGCCAGAAAATTGTGAATGAAATTATCGCAATGATACTGTGTACTTCCATAGACTACCTTCACTTGGCCCTGCCAAATTGTTTTTCAATTATCTGCCACATTTAAGAACTGGGAGATGGCACATTAAAATCCAATTTCCGGCCTCATCCTCAAAACAAACATGAAACTGGCAACACTTGGCTGGAACCCAGGTGTTCTCTAGGTGTCCACCCGCCCGGCACCCCATTCCTTGCTGTGTCACACCTGAACCCTTTGCAGGTGCTTGAGAGCATCCTGCGGAGAAGGCAATGGCACCCCGCTCCAGTACTCTAGCCTGAAAATCCCATGGCCGGAGGAGCCTGGTGGGCTGCAGTCCATGGGGTCGCACAGAGTCGGACACGACTGAGCAACTTCACTTTCACTTTCCTGCATTGGAGAAGGAAATGGCAACCCACTCCAGTGTTCTTGCCTGGAGAATCCCAGGGATGGCGGAGCCTGGTGGGCTGCCGTCTACGGGGTCGCACAGAGTCAGACACAACTGAAGTGATTTAGCAGCAGCAGCAGTGAGCATCCTGAGTGCAAAATACAAACACTTCCTATAGTGTTTAATGAATGGAGGAAGTTACCATCCTGTCCATCTCTGAGCTCCTGGTCTTCCGCTTCATCTTCACCGGATCCATCTCCAAACTGCTTTTCATACTGTGCCTCCATCTCCCTGAGCTCCTTCTCCAAGTCAGCTACCGCCATCCAGGTCTGCTCTCTGTACTGCTCTGCCAGCCTGGGTACACACGGCACGGTCTCTGCATTGGTTTCATTTACTTCTGGGGCTTAAAACCCATCCTCCCCAACTGTCCATGCCTACAAACTCAAAACCTGGGCTTGGCTGAAAACGGGCCAAGTCACTTCAATCTGTTTAGCGGTTCTGTGGTTGATTTTAATTGCTCTGTTAGGTAACAGGTTTTGAAACATCTAACTCTTAGCAACTTACTAAAAGTCTTCAGGTGGTTTTAAATCCTAAGTGTCAATGTAGTGGCACTTTCCCAAAGATGAGGTGCGTAGAACTTTCAAGTAGATAGTTTTTTAAAGAATGCTATAAAGCTCTGGACACAATGCTTTTATAGTGACTCAAGACAACTGAACTTTAAAGGCACTAAGTCTCTAAGAGTATACTGACAAAGTAGAGTACTGCGTGGGGCTTAGAAGCAGAGCCCCGGACTGACTTCAGGCTCCAATTCACACCTCTGCAATTTATTAGCTATGTGATCTTGGGCCTGTCTCATTTCCTCCAAAGAAAGGATAAAAACCAGAACCTTCATCACAGCACTGCTGCAAGAAAAGCACTCAGGATGTGGCCTTGTACAGAATGAGAATTCAATTAATATTAGTTATTATTAAATGTTATAAGAGTCTGTAAAGGATCTCAAGTGTGAATGGGCCTCTGAAGGAAAACACCCAACTTAAAAAGAAAAACTTTTTCATAGCTGATGAAAAGACATCATCCCAGTGACAGGACATAAAAGAAAGGCTGAAGCCAGGGTGAGGATTAAACCTCCATGAAAGCACCAGGTCAGGTATCCATGGCGTTTCTGGGGACTGGCACCTACGTCTAGACAGGCTCCAGCCCAGCCCACATACTTGGCCTGTTTTAGCTTCTGCTGCCGCCTCATTGCCTCAGCTTTCCTGGCTTTCTCTGCATTTTGTTCTTCCACGAGTTTTCGATGAGCCTGCACTCTTCTATCCCTTTTACGGATGAAAGCGACCAGCTGACGGACAAGCTCATTCTTCTCCTTCCTCGCTTTGTCTCGGATCTTTTTGTTTTCTTTTTCCATGGCTCGCTTCTCCCAGCGGTTTGAAGCCTGCCGTGTGTCATATTCTTCTTTCCAAGCAAAGTTCTTCTGAGTGCAGAAGCTCTGCCAGTAAGCATAGAAAGGGTGGACCACCTGGGGACAAAGGAAGCAAGCGGAACACTTGTTTTTATTTGGATTTTTTTTCCAGTAAGGCCGTAAATACTGATGCTGCAAAACATCTAACCTCTTTTCTTTATATATATAAATATATATAAAACATTACTATTAATCAATAGAGAAGACAGTCCTTTGAAGGCTTTACACAGTAACTCTTCAGAATTAATTTGATGAGGAAATTAATGGAATGGGACCATGATCAAGAGGAAAAAGTAAAGAGGGGAGGGGATCAAGAAATACAAAAGATAAGAGAGTCACGGTATAAGACAGAGAACTAGAACCTTTTTTTTAAAAAAAAAATAAAGAAATGGGGAAAAGACACACTGATAAATGCTAATTACAAAATGGTGGTGAGTGTTCCTTTTACCGTATCATAGTCACTCTGGGAGTCTCCAAAAGTTGGGAAATCTTCCATGTCCTCTTCTAAAGCAGATTCTAGTTCTTCCTTTGCAATCATTTCAAAAACATTACGGTACACCGTATAAAAGCCCTAAAAAACAGTAACAGAAACACAAATTCTTAACACTTTTGTAGTCTACTCATAGAATAAGATTTTTAAATGTAACATGAAAATTTTTAATTAAAAAAAAATTGAAACCGTTAAAAAAATTTACAGTCCCAAGCTCTGTCACTGCAAATACATTTAGGTTTCAACTGAAGGTCTTTACATGCTGACAGGTTAAATATGAAGGCAATGTTTCTCAGTTTTCAAATGAGTAGTCTATCACTTTCTATTTTCGAATAATTTTAAGAATTTGCATTCAAGAGTCTTACTTAAATGCTTGATAAATTATCAGTGAGTTCACTTCTTACCTTTTCATCATCACCATAACCAGAGTAGCAGGTAACAGTGAAATAGTGAAGCAAATCTAAGCTGTCATCTTGATATTCTCCATCAAGCCCACCTTTAAGCAGAGCCTCTCTATGATTATCATACCTAAGGGGGGAAAAAAAAATTTGCAACAACAGTGAAGGCTGAATAAGTAAGAATTCAAAAGATTCCTTACTCTGAAACAGTCAAAATATAACTTCTTTACACTTTAATGTGGCCAACCTACAACCAAAACCTTGGAGAAAAATATCAACAGTTAAAGACTTAATAGCTTCCCAAGTGGTTCAGTGGTAAAAAATCTGCATCTCAATACAGGAGACACAGGTTCAATCCCTAGGCTGGGAAGATCCCCTGGAGAAGGAAATGACAATCCACTCCAGTATTCTTGTTGGAATAATCCCACAGACAGAGGAGCCTGGTGGGCTATAATCCATGGTTCTGCAAGAATCTTCCACAGAACTGATGATCAAAACTTCGACTGCAATTCCAAGTCCATTATAGTCATTATATGACACTAGCCCTATATGAAACTAGCCAACATGAAGAGGGGAGTTTAATAAGCCAAGGAATTTCTACTCTCCCAGAAAGGTAGGAGCACTTTCACCAGAAAAAAGCCTAAGTCAGACAGTAGTAGCCATCATCTGGTCCTTAGACTAAATACACTTTTGGGATCTGGGAATTTACCAACATGGACATGAATAACACTCTCCCAGTGTTTATGTAAACCATCTAAGAGCTTCACACACATACAACTGACCCTCACTCCATAAAGTCAATTATTATCCTTGTTTGATACAACAAGAAATTGAAGCTTAGCAATATTAAATAATGTTGCCCACAATCATAAAGCCAATAAGCAGCAGAGCTAGAATTCAAAACCATGAGTCCAGCATCAGAAGAACCACACCCCTTCCACTGTGCCGAACTGCTTCCAGTTCACAGGAGAATTAAAAGGTAGGTGCTTCAAAAAAAAGGACAAGGGACTCCTCGGGCAGGAATACCACCTAAGATCTAGAGAAGAGTTAGAGCAAATGGAAGGCAGGAAAGAATCTCAAAGCTTCCAAAGGAAAGCAAAAGCATTTCTAAGGCCACATTTTCAAATTCCCCAGGAAAAAATTTAGTATGCTCTAATTTTTATAGAAAAGGTAATTTAATAAGAATTTTCTTTATAGCCTTTCTCTCTTAGTAAGAGAGAAGACTTGCACAGGTGAACTGAACACCCATCTGCTCTCTGTGCCAGCAGCATCTTGCATGGTTATGTCAAGAGTATAAAACCTACTGCTTCACAGCAAAAAGTTCACTGAGAATCTGGAACCTTCAAAACGACTTCAAAAGTAGAAATATATGTGTGGAAATGGCATTAAGTGATCAGGTCATCATTAAAGAGTCTGTCATGGATGTAGATGCTTAACTCCAGCATATAAAGAAGTTCTTGGAAAAAAATATTACAATTCTTGACAAAAACACTGTATCTGTGTTTTTAATTTCTTTTTTAATTGAAGGATAATTGCTTTACAGAATTTTGTTGTTTTTTAAGGATAAGTCAACATTCTTCCTTTTCTTCTGCTGCTGCTAAGTCACATCAGTCGTGTCCGACTCCATGCGACCCCACAGATGGCAGCCCACCAGGCTTCCCCATCCCTGGGATTCTCCAGGCAAGAATACTGACATCATTTAATTTGTCAGACATCAAAGAGACCTTATTAAATGAGAAGGAGCTTCGTAAGTATGAAAATTAAAACTATTTCTACTACTGTCAAACTTCAGAGGTGAAGTAATCTTCTCTCAGGTTCCTTCCTACCTAAACACTGCATTTTACATAATGAATAGATGACTGGGCTTCAGAACACACCCCAAACCGTGTGATGTATTACATTTCTAAAAAGCTCTCTGCTGACCATTCTTCCCAACCAGATACTCCAGGAGGGACAGCACGATACTCACCACGCTCTCTCCTGAGGGTCACTCAACACATCATATGCCGCTTGGATCAGTTTAAATTGTTCAGCTGCTTCTGCGGCATTATCCAGATTTTTATCTGTTAAAATAAAGGACAGAAACTCACTCACCAGAAAAGTAGAGGACAGACTCTAAAAAGGGCCGCTTCCATCAGGAATGCCATAAATGGATGTGTACAAAACGAAGAAAAACAACTGGGGAAAACCAGAGAAAGTGGCTGACAGCTGATCATCAGGATCGGCTGTAAGTGTCAACTCGAGTAGAAATTTCATGCTTTTCTCTAAATCTCAGTGTGTTACTTAGCACTCAATCTGGATATCCACAAACAGAAAACCCTGAGTAGTACAGATTTTATTTTCAGAAGGAGCAAAATACATCCATCAGATGTAGAAAGACTGTTACTGTTTGGTGCTAGGTTATATTTAGTGTGCCTTTACCACCATCTTTAAGGTTTTCTTTCTTATCGACATACACCAAAATGAATCCCATAAAGCTTATAAAATACATACTAATTACCTTTCTGTTAGTTTGCCTCCTTAACCATGGAATTCAGAAAGCATCTTTACCTCAGGGTGGTAGCCAGATTCCTAGATGGCCGCAAGGACCCCCACCTTCCTGGTGTTCACACCCCGTGTAATCCTCTCCCCCATCAACAGGGTCGGTCTGTGTGACTGAAACCCAGAGGCAGAAGTGATGACAGGACAGGACATTACTTTCAATACTGGATTATGACAGACTGCAGTCTCCATCTTGGGTGCTCGCCCTCTCTTGGATCTCTGGAGTGGCCAGCTGCCATAGCGTGAGGACACTCTGGTGGCCTCTGAAAAGCCCTCAAGGTAAAGAATGGAGGCCTCTGGCCCATGGCCAACAGGAACTGAGACCTGCCATTACCCTGGGGGCGAGCTTGAATGTGAGTTTTCCCAGTGATGATTCAACCTTCTGAGAAACCTTGAGTCAAACCACCCAGCTACACCGTTCTCAATCTGATCCCCAGAAAATGGTGTGAGTCCACATCCTGAATATATTTGCTGTTTAAGTTTTTGGTAATGTGTTACACAGCAACAGATAACTAACACACTCAAAAAGCAAAATATCAGTATCTTGTCTACTATGGAGTACATCAACATTCTTTAGGCTACAACGCAATATATGCTTCTTAAAAAAAGGACAGAAATAGTCTTAAAGCAAGGCTCTCAAGTGTACCCGACCTCCTCTTTTTAGATACCACCACACAGTCCCACGTCCTTCAAGCAGCCTTCTGCTCAACAACTGACACTGACAACACTTTCTCAAGTGCAGCAATCTGCCTTAGTTCTTTTTGTTTAGGTGCTTGAACACAAAAAGCTTTTAGAACCATGTTCCTTTGAAATTAACAAAAAATAAAAAAAACAGAAATGAAAAAACTCCATCACACGTCTAATTTCCCTTCCTTAGAGCAGCCCATGGGTCATCTTCTAGCCTACCTCTTCTCTGGACTAAATCTCCTACTTCTTATGTGCACCATAATACACTCTACTTCTGCTCAGTCATTCAGCATTATCTCTGTAACATTCCTGCTAGAAATGTTTAACCTGAATTTAATCATGAGGAAGTAACTGTTGTTGTTTAGTCACTAAGTCGTGTCTGACTTTTTGCAACCCCATGGACTGTAGGCCACCAGGTTCCGCTGTCCATGGAATTTTCTAGGCAAGAATACTGGAGTCAGTTGCCATCTACTTCTCCAGGGGATCTTCCCGACCCAGGGGTCAAACCTGTGTCTCCTGCGTTGGCAGGTGGGTTCTTTACCACTGCACTACCTGGGAGGCCCAAGTGTGTGTGTGAGTCGCTTAGCTGTGTCCTGTACTTCAAATGCAGTCAGACAGTAATGATCAAGGAGCTATTCATTAATTCCTTAACATTCTAGTTTTAATCACTATAGCTAATTATATTCTTTTTTAGCAACAATATCACATTATGTCATGCTGAATTTATAGCTGACAAAGTTTTAAGTATTTTTCATGTTAACTGCTGACAAACCAACTGAAAACTGTAAAACAGTTTTTCAAACTCAAATAGAGTGCTCAATCCACTCTGTGGCAGATACTAAAGGTTAGCTGATCCAAAACTTCTCCCTCTTTCTTCTCTTTCAGGCTTTACTGTGGAGGCTGGATGAGCTAAAAATTAAGCAAGCATTTTGGCTTATCTCCTTTGCTGCTAGACAGGGCCATGTGACATAGTTCTGACCAGTGAAGTGAAAGCATCGGTGAAAGCACTATATTTTCTTTCCTTCCTCTTTGTCTTACACATGGACGTGAGTGCTGGAGCTTCAGCAGCCATCTTGAGACCATGAAGGAAAAGGCAAGAGATTCACAGTGACATTACTCAGCCACTCAAACAATGCCAGCAAGCATGTACCTCCAAGCCTTCTTGTGGTGAGAAAAATAAGTTAACTTACTTAAACCACTGTGGCTAGGTTTTCCATTATTTCCAATGAGTACTATCAACTTTCACCTTGCTGTGGCCGTGTTGCCATCCAGTTCTAAACACAGGACAGCCAGTATCCTGTTTTAATTATTTGAAATTTTTATTACTACTCTGTGACAAATACTACTAGTTGCCTACTCAGTATCCATTCTCCTCTTATTCCTAACAAAACTATGATGCTGATCATAGTGGTAATGTACACAACTTAAAAACCTTAGCTCCCCAAACTTTTCTGAAGTCGAGATTATCAGGTGACCCACTTTCAGCCCATCAGACACAAACACAGATCGATCAATACTAAGTGAAGCTTCCCAAGAGGAGCACTGTTCTTCCTGATGAAAGGGACGGGCCTGGGTGGCACTCACCTTACGCTCTAACTCACCCTTTGCGTCCTGCCCAAAGCCTGGGTATACTGCCTGCCGGCAGGTTATGACAACTGAGGCAGAGACTGCAGGTTCATCCCCTCTTCCGGGAACAAATGAATGCTGATTTTATGGGGGCACCTGATCCCCCAAATAAAGATGCCATTTCTAGTCTCCCCTGAAGTCTGGATTGACCATGTGACTAAGCTCTAGTCAATAAAATCCATGAAAGTGTTCTGTGGCAGCTTTTTAGACTCTTCCTTGAAAGACAACCAGCACACACCCTGTCCTGCTTTATCCTTTCCTCCCTCATGCTGCCACCTGGGACCCCTACTGCCATCTCAGATGGTGAGTAAGGCCCCATCTGACAGCTGCTGAGCAGAGTCCAACGACCTCATGGGAGACCTGCTACCTGGGGCTCACCAGCCTCTCTCTGCACCTCCACGTGAAAGCAGTGAACTTCTTAACTGCTTACACTTGACACAAAGACTCAAGTCTTATGGTCAGGATGATGGAGCAGGTCTTCAATGGCTTCATCAAGCAGCCAGAACTACCAAGAAGGGTCACCTCCTGATTTCCTGCTACATGCGAAAAAAAACCAACTTTTTGAACACGACTGCCGGCTTCCTATCATTTGCAGCTAAATACAATCCTGATTTGCATACAAGGGTACAGTCCAGCTCATGATTTCTATGTCTTCATCAAATCATTAGTAATGATGGTCTGATAAACAAAGAAGCATAGTTCACATTAAAGCAGAATGACAGAAAGCCGCCAACTAAATCTCCTGATATGAGACAGAAAAGGTGACTGTTTAGGGGTGGGAGGTGGGTGGTTCTTCTTCACCTTTTAATCTGTACTGTACTTTGTTGTCTTTTTTCTTCCCACTCCCTTCTTCCCTCCCTCAAAGAAGTCTGGTGACAGCTAAAGCTTTCAAAACGAGAAAACCCAATCAATGTACCATCTGAAAGCAAGATCTATCGCTTTCTGAATCTTCTTTTTTAAATAACTTTTTCAATCTGTCATAAGGCTTTTTATTTCATTTAAATATGCCTGTGACTGGTTGACTAGGAGGTTGAACTGAGATTTAAAAGATGAGTGTAAAAAGTTAAAAAGCTATCATAGAAAAAAATGTGAAGTCTACCTTAATTATTAACATTAGGCAAATGCCATACGTATTTCAAATCCAGCCACTAAAGTTTAAAAGGTACTCTCATACTATTCTTTGTGTTTTTCTCTAGATAAACTTGTGCCCTCCTCCACTTTCTTCCAAATGATCTTACAGTACCTTATAGAACACTTCATGGACCGTGCCGTTTACGCCCTGCCTTAACTGAAGCCAAGCTCCCTGAGAACACACTTCCCAACAGGCCCCTGGGGCTCTGATACAGCAGGTCTGGTGATGAAGCTGACCTCCTCTCCTGGTCACTGATCTTATTCACCACTCTGTACAAATCAGCATTCTGTCCATTCAAATGGAGATTCAGACAATCCGGCTACCTCTCCTCCTTCCCCTCCTTCTCACTATTCACTAGCCTCCCAACCATTCCTCCCGTTCACTGAGAATTTTAGCATGTGAATCATCTCTGCTCCCAGGTCCTTTCATCATCCTGGTGATGGCAGTGTCCCTAGTGAGATCTGCTGGTCTCCTTACCTCCTGCCTAGCCTCTCCAACCCAGTCTTCCACCACACGGCCAAAGGAATACTTGAAAAACATAAACCTATCATTTCTCCTGTTTGCAACCCTTCGATGGCTTCCCAAAGCCCAATCTTCCTAACCCAGTTTACCACAACCTTCAAGACTCAGCCCTTGCTCACCAGGGCAAGCTGACTTCTTCCGCTTCCTAGGCTCTGCAGTGCTCCCTCTTACCTCCCACCTCCTGTGCTCGCTGCGATCCCACTTGAGGTCTCAACCTAGATGTCCCTCGGGGATGAACATCTATCCCACCCTCACAAAAACCCAGTCCAGATTGGTACAGGGGCTCAGAAGCACCTTGAATGTACCCTCATACTGCCCTTATCTCAGCGGATGGAAAGTGACTGTTTTCCTCTGAGTCTCTCCGAAGACAGCAGGGCCAGCGGGGCAGGGACCACTCCTGTCTTGTCTACAGTAAGATGCTCAGGGAACAGTCATCAGATGAATCACTGAAAGACTGGCTTTCACAAGGAGTGATCTTAGTAGGCAGTGCTACTGACCCTATTGGAAATTACTCTCAATTCTTCAATAAAAGAAATAAAGGTAATTCCTTTTCTAAACAATGAAAATGGGTGGCCTCTATATGAGGCACACATTAGTCTTTGAAGCACAACCCAAATGTCAACCTTGGAAATATCTAATGCATTACCTTGCACATAGGATGAAATGAAACATTGCTGAGTGACAGACTTAACAAATTAATGAGCCAGCAAAGTAAAGCACATCAAAATCATGCGTCTTATGGGACAGTATTTATCCTATTCTTCCTTGCACTGATTTCCAACTAATCAAATCTGGTCATTTTTCCTTCGCAACTTCCCTTCAATGCAGCCCTTACCCCTCCCAATGATTCCAAGACTGGTTTGGGTCCTTAAGTGCTCGCGGTTGACTCTACCTGACTTTGGTCTCTGGCCCCCCTCAATCTACTAAGCTGCCTTCATAGTACCTTTCCAGGACATCTTAATAAAACTGGCCACAACTATCCATTATTGGAAAAACACATTTCACCGTCCTTTCAAAGACCTTTACAACCTAATCTCAGACTACTACTCAGAAACGTTTTAACACTATCATCAAAATTATATGTGCATTTGATCACAAGCATTAATTCTCTTTCTCACCCTTCCCCACCCAGTTAAATTTCCAACTCTATTTCTAACAGTAATTCCTATTACTCTAAGACCATTCTTCTATACTGTTTTTGGACCTATTAATTTTGGATATAGCTCGTGACTTATGGATAAACATTTAGCTCATTTACCTCTTCCCTTCCAGCATACATCAGATTTTTTTAGTTCATCTGACGGTCATCATTTACAGCTTTAAGCAACAAACCCATACCTTTATTTCCTGTTCCATCAACTAGAACCATTACCTTCTGATTTGGGGTTCTAAGCCCTTCCTTCAGCCCTTCTCTCAACACCTATTTTCAGACTTCCAATAAACGCTGTCTTCCGTCAAACTCTCCTTTGGACCATCTTTTGCCCGCCACGGTGCTCTTTCCCATACAATTAAATTTTCTTCTCCCTCTTTCCTCTAGAGCCAGCTAAAGGCCAGGCTCCTCTGCCAAGGGGAAGCCTCACTGACTTTCAGTACATGGTGAAAACTCCTGGTCTTGAATTCCTGGGGCAGTTATTAATTGTTCTAGTAAGTGAAAGTGAAGTTGCTCAGTCATATCGGACTCTTTGAGACCCCATGGACTGTAGCCCAGTAGGCTCCTCTGTCCATGGGGATTTTCCAGGCAAGAATACTGGAGCGGGTGGCCATTCCTTCTCCAGAGATCTTCCCAACCCAGGGAATGAACCCAGGTCTCCCACATTGTAGGCAGACGCTTTACCGTCTGAGCCACCAGGGAAGGCATTGTTCTAGTAACATGTTCTAGTAACCCACTCCCATGTTCTAGTAACCAAGTCATTGTTCTAGTAACCCACTACCAATTATATGCGTTATTATGCTGTTTTGTCTGCATTTGTATTTACCTTTCCAGTAAGGCATGTTTTCCAAACAAGACTGAGGTCTCCGTCTTAGCATTCTAACCACTCTATAAACATTTTTATGGACTAGTGCTAATATGAAAGCCTCTTATAAACCTCAAAAAGTTGAGATTCAAATACTGTCTTCGTTACCCAGTCGAGAAGATCAGATTGCTTCACCAGTCACACAGGTCTGGACTAAAACTAAATAAAACATCCGAAAGAAGCATACTTCTATAGATGTAAACACATAACTTCACTAGGGAAGGCACGCAATTAAATTTTTCAATCTGCAGAACACCCGAAGTGAAATACAGAATCAACCTACCAAAAGAGAAAAAAAAAGCATAGCTCTTTAGAAGACATCTGACTAGCCCCTTTGTCTTAATTACACTTAAGTAGCTGGGATTTCCCGCTGAAGTTAAGGGCAGGTTTCCCGGTGAAAGCCCAGGAAAGCTGCAGGAACTCCAGCAAGGGAACAGCCTGAAACAGGACTGGGTTAAAAACTCGGGACTCCTCCCCGCTCGGGGTCATCTACGGAGGGGTAGGAGGAGCACGAGAAGTCCCTAGTATGTTATCCTTCCCCATCAAGTCGCCACGCGGGAACCCGGGGACGTCTGGGGCAGAACGAGGTGCTCGGGTCTCGAGTGAAGCCTGGGGGTAGAGGGCTGCGACCGCCGATGGGCTGAGAGCCCTCATCGCCAGGGCTGGGCAGGGGCCACCCGGCCGGACGCCGGCACCGTTTCCAGGGCGAGGGGAGTTACCGGGCGGGCAAGCCCGGGCACAGCCAGGTCCCTAGAGTTACCCTGCGGAGGAGGGTGAGAAAGGTCGCGAGGGCCGCGGCTTTCGAGAGGGGCCGCGGCGGTCGCGGAGTAATTACCTGGGTGCCATTTCAGGGCCAGCTTCCGATAGGCTTTCTTGAGCTCCTCCTCGCTGGCGTCTCGCCGCACCCCCAGCGCTTCGTAGTGACACTTCATCGCCCGACAGGGCAGGGGGCTTGGGCCGGGGCCGGGGCCCGGGGCGGGGCCGGAGCCCGGGCCCGGGCCGAAGTGGTGGCGACGGCCCTGGTGGTCCTCTCCTGCGGCGGGAGCCCGGCGCCCGCACCGGGCCAGCAAGCGAGCGCGGCGGCGGCGACGGCAGCGCCGGGCGACGGCGGCGCGCGGTGGCGAAAGGCGGCGCTGGTTGCGGCACGCGGGAGCGCGGAGGGGGCGGCGCCGGCGGCGGCTCCGCATGGACAGGGGGAGGGCCCTGTTCCGGAAATAGCCGCGCGGGAGGAAGGCGGAGCCGCGGCGGGGATGAGGCGGGGCCGCGGCGGGCGGGAGGCGGGGCCGAAGTGAGACGGAGGTAGGGTCACGGGAGGCGGGGCCCCGGGGGGTGTCATTGTGAGGGGCACAGACGGCAGTCAGAGAGACACTAACTTGACATCCGACCTGAGAGATGAGAAAGGAGTTTGATGGGATGAGATTCTGGAAAACATCTTGTAGTTCTTAAGATAATTTCTCAATTTGAGCCACGCTTTTACAGATGAGAAAACTCAAGCTTGAGGAACGCCCCACTGATGAATGGCAGGATTCAGTTGGATCAAAACCAGATCTTTTAACTCTTTTCTTCGGTTACCACTTAATGAGATCTCTAATACTCCTTGTCCTGACCAATGTGCATGAGAAATAATAATTTTAAAAATGACTTATACTGAAACAATTTAAGAGGGAGCATCAACACGTTTTAAATTAATAATATTAAATGTTTTACTACCGTAAATAAAATTGCGCTGATCCACCCATCCATCACTCTTGATGGATCCATCACATCCATCACTAACTTTCTGGGCTCTAAACCTACATTTCCAAGATCGATTTAGGTTAAGAATGCTGTTAGGACTCAGCCCTTTCACTGCTGAGAGTCGGGTTGGATCCTTGGTCAGGGGAGCTAAGATCCCACAAGAAAAGTTCAGTTCAGTCGCTCAGTCGTGTCCGACTCTTTGCGACCCCATGAACCTCAGCACGCCAGGCCTCCCTGTCCATTACCAACTGCTGGAGTCTACCCAAACCCATGTCCATTGAGTCAGTGATGCCATCCAACCATCTCACCTTCTGTCGTGCCCTTCTCCTCCTGCCCTCAATCTTTCCCAGCATCAGGGTCTTTTTCAAATAAGTCAGCTCTTCACATCAGGTGGCCAAAGGATTGGAGTTCAGCTTCAGTATCAGTCCTTCCAATGAATATTCAGGACTGATGTCCTTTAGGATGGACTGGTAGGATCTCCTTGCAGTCCGAGGGACTCTCAGGAGTCTTCTCCAACACAGTTCAAAAGCATCAATTCTTTGGTGCTCAGCTTTCTTTATAGTCCAACTCTCACATCCATACATGACTACTGAAAAACCATACCGTTCACTAGGCAGACCTTTGCTGGCAAAGTAACATCTCTGCTTTTTACTATGCTGTCTAGGTTGGTCATAACTTTCCTTCCAAGAAGTAAGTGTCTTTTAATTTCATGGCTGGAATCACCATCCGCAGTGATTTTGGAGCCCAGAAAAATAGTCAGCCACTGTTTCCACTGTTTCCCCATCTATTTCCCATGAAGTGATGGGACCGGATGCCATGCTTTTAGTTTTCTGAATGTTGAGCTTTAAGCCAGCTTTTTCACTCTCCTCTTTCACTTTCGTCAAGAGGCTCTTTAGTTCTTCACTTTCTGCCATAAGGGTGGTGTCATCTGCATATCTGAGGTTATTGACATTTCTCCCAGCAATCCTGATTCCAGCTTGTGCTTCCTCCAGCCCAGCATTTCTCATGATGAACTCTGCATGTAAGTTAAATAAGCAGGGTGACAATACACAGCCTTGACATACTCCTTTTCCTATCTGGAACCAGTCTGTTGTCCCATGTCCAATTCTAACCGTTGCTTCCTGACCTGCATACAGGTTTCTCAAGAGGCAGGTCAGGTGGTCTGGTATTCCCATGTCTTTCAGAATTTTCCAGTTTATTGTGATCTACACCATCAAAGGCTTTTGAATAGTCAATAAAACAGAAATAGATGTTTTTCTGGAACTCTCTTGCTTTTTTGATGATCCAGTGGATGTTAGCAATTTGATCTCTGGTTCCTCTGCTTTTTCTAAAACCAGCTTGAACATCTGGAAGTTCACAGTTATGTTCTGCTGAAGCCACAAGAAAAGAGGTGCCACCAAAAAAAAAAAAAAAAAAGAATGCAGCTAAGGGATAGTATTTAATGGGTAGCAGGTTTTGGTTGATGTAACTGATACACTGTATTATGGGGTGAAAGATCCCTACAACTGTTGTTAAATTTAGATTGTCAACCACATATGGTTAGAAGGGTTGGCTCTGTTGCTAACAAATCTCTCTTGTACAGGATCAGGGTACCCAAAGTCTATGAAGTTGTCCCTTTCTTCCCTAACATCCTGCCCTCTGCACAATCAAAACAAACCAACTCTTAAATCTCAATTTCTAGGCACAACACTGTCCAACCAACTCACTACTAAAAATTCATACACTAGCCTCTTTTCCAAAGGAGGATACTATATGGTCTTGGATTATAAATGATAATAGGGAAGATTGAGAAGTTTGAGTGCAAAGAAAAACAGGACATTTCCCTATCTGAGAATGGAATTAGGAAAGGGGAGTAAACAAACAGTTAACAAAAAAAATGACTTTTTTCTTTCTCCAATTCCATCTGGTTTTGCTACTTCTCAGTCACTTGCATCTTTTTCTTTCCTGAGGAAAGAGGATCCATTTTTGCTTGTAATACTCTATCAAAATTTAAAGACAATTACACTGTATGTAAATTTCAGCCTAAAGGAAGATCTTTATTAAACAGGTTGACTTCTAAATGAACATGGACTTGAGAAATTCTCATTCAAATGAGGTATCCACATAAATGATTACAATAATGTCTTATTTTCATCCTATATTCAATTGCTTAAATATCAGCTTTTCCCCCTGAAGTAAGCGTTAGTCGCTCAGTTGTGCCCGACTCTTTATGACCCCATGGACTCTTTACTACAACACAGGACCACCAGGTTCCTGTGTCCAGATTTTCCAGGCAAGGATACTAGAGTGGGTTCGTGGGTTGCCATTTCCTTCTCCAACAAATTCGTGTAACTACCACACAAAAACAGTATTAGTCACAAAAGAAAAACCAATACCCAGCCAAAACACAGTATTCATATTTTTTACCTATCAAATTGACAAAGATTATCTCATCATTAGCAAGGGTACAAGGAAATGAACAAAAACCTCTGGTGAGGTACAATATTTAGAGGAACGAGTTTCTAACTTTTGACCAGGGTTCTTAACTCCATATATTGTACAAAATATGTATAGAATGTTTGCGGCAAGCATCTATACCAGAAAAGATAAAACTGAAATACTCAAATATCCAACAATAAGGGACTGCTGAGGTGTGGCAGAATAGAATACTGTGCAATTACTAATGTTGCAGAGCAAGGACGGGAAAATGATTTGCAGGAAAAAAGTGATAAAACACCACACGCATGACCCTACCCTGTCCCTGGCCACTTGCACCCAGAATCTTGTCTATTACTAATTGTTCTTCAGGGTGATAAGCCCAGTGCTCTTTCTGCTTCAAATAAAGTTCTTTCATAACAGGAAAAATTCACATGTTCTGGTGCCGTTAACTGTTTTTAAGTAATTTACACCCACTGCTTCTAAATTAAATTTGCAGTCTACAAAATGCTTTCAATACATGTATCAACTTACTTGATTTGCAAAACCTAAATATTTTTCTCATATTTTTTCAAGGTAACAAAACAAGAAAAGTTGGCTCTTCCCATGCCTTGTGACTCAGGGACTCAAACCTCAGCAAGATGCTTTCCCCTTCTAGCACTCCACCCTCACTATACCATCTGAAACGATGCCCTCAAAGTGCCTAATACTGTTTTACATATAATAACAATCCAGTAAATCTGCCTGAATTTCAGATTTAATAAACTCAAAATTTTAATCCAAAACAGTGGGCCTAAACCTTAAATGTGCTAAGTTTTTAGTAACATATAAAGCTTTAAAAAGAAAAACAGAAATTAGGTGATGAGTTCTGGTGATATTTTATTTAGAAAAACATAGACCCACCCGGACCAAAGTCACAAAATCTTAAGTTTTTCTTTTAAATGTTGCACTAATTAGATGTAAGGCCATTGCAAATAACAAAAGTATTTACACACTGAACACAAAATAAATATAAAACAACTGAAATCAAATCAGTTCTCCATTGATTCATTTTGCATTCCCACTGCTCATCTTCTGTTTCATTTTTCTTTGTCTTTTGTAAATCCTTTTCTTTCTGGCTTTCAAATCAACCTTTGGCTCTGGTTTCACCCACTGTATTTCTACCGGCTTTTCCTCAGCCGGCGTAACAAAAACATCTGCAGTGGGATCATGGGGAAGAATAGTCTTTGGTTCTTTCTTTCTCAGCTTCTGCACATCTTTCACTTGCTGTTTCTCTCTGTATTTTGCAGCTGTGATGGATCTTATGAGACGCCGATGCTAGAAACAAAAAAAAATATGAAAGGTGCTTTTGAATAAAAATAAACATTTTATACATGGCAAGGACATTCACTTATGAAACCTATTTCCCTTTATCCTGCATCATCAAAAAAAAAAAATAGTAATCTTTAAGACTGGATGCAGCAAAAACCAAATTCAGTTTCACAGTTAACAGAACACTTATTTGACAGAATTACTTTGGCCCGAGTTTTAGGACACCAAGGACCACTGAACAGAAACAGCTTACCATGTTTGGTGACTGGTAGTGAGGATTTTCATACAAAGTTGGTCCTCCAAAACTTCCCTGGAAAATCTTTATAAGATTTAAGACAAAACGGGGTCCTATTTCTACAAGAGCGGCATCTTCTTCTATGATCTTTAATTAAAAAAAGGAAACATTTCATTTTGATTTGAATAAAATACTTCTAAATGGTACATATGCTATATCCTCATTACAAATGTA